GTCAATGACGCTGGGTTGATCCCAGAGAAGGTTGGAGATGAGGTTGGGATGCTGAATAGTTGAGGAGGCCTGTGTCTGGAGGTAAGTATGAGAGAGTTTGGCATACTTACGGTCTTTGATGTCTGACAGAGCAGAGAAAAAGTGTTTGTTAAGGACGTGGATCCTTCTGAGGACAAAGAACAGTCGAGATCCTCTGCAGGTCTGGGAGAGAGAGGCCTTGAGCTGGGGCAAGGCTGACTGCAAGCAGAGAAGTATTGACACATGGCAGACAGCGTTGAGCTGAGAATCTGCAGGGAGAATTGTTTCTGGTTGCACTGGAGGTGCAGGGATAATTGTTTCTGGAGGCTCTCTCCAACCACATTCTAAAGCAATCTCGCTACTACAGCCACATCTCCTCCCTTGGCGCCTGTCTATGCAGCCGGTTCATCCTCCATGGGCACCAAATAACATTCAGACCTTCACAATTTGGTCCCACTTCCTACAGACCAAGGGGATGGCCATGGCACCCGCATGGGCCCAAGTTATGCTTATCTCTTTGTAGGATTCATGGAATAGTCCCTCTTCCACAACTACACTGGCACCATCCCTCAACTCTTTCTCTATCATATTGATGACTGCATCCTTGCTGCCTTGTGCTCCTGCGAGGAGCTCGAGCAGTTCATCAACTTCGCCAACACGTTCCACCCTACCCACAAATTCAACTGGACTATTTCTGGCATACGTAAGGTCTAGGCGACTGAAAACAGATGAAGCTTTGAAAGAATATCGGGAAAGTAGGACCAATCTGAAACGAGGAATTAAGAGGGCTAAAACGGGTCATGAAATATCTTTAGCAAACAGGGTTAAGGAAAATCCCAAAGCCTTTTATTCATACATAAGGAGCAAGAGGGTAACTAGAGAAAGGGTTGGCCCACTCAAGGACAAAGGAGGGAAGTTATGCGAGGACTGAGAGAAAATGAGTGAGATTCTTCATGAGTACTTTGCGTTGGTATTCACCGAGGAGAGGGACATGACGGATGTTGAGGTTAGGGATAAATGTTTGATTACTCTAGGTCAAGTCGGCATAAGGAGGGGGGAAGTGTTGGGTATTCTAAAAGGCATTAGGGTGGACAAGTCCCCAGGTCTGGATGGGATCTATCCCAGGCTACTGAGGGAAGCGAGAGAGGAAATAGCTGGGGCCTTAACAGATATCTTTGCAGCATCCTTGAGCACGGGTGAAGTCCTGGAGGACTGGAGAATTGCTAATGTTGTCCCCTTGTTTAAGAAGGGTAGCAAGGATGATCCAGGTAATTATAGACCGGTGAGCCTGACGTCAGTGGTGAGGAGGCTGCTGGAGAAGATACTGAGGGATAGGATCTATTTACATTTGGAAGAAAATGGGCTTATTAGTGATAGGCAGTGTGGTTTTGTGCAGGGAAGGTCATGTCTTACCAACTTGATAGAATTCTTTGAGGAAGTGACAAAGTTGATAGATGAGGGAAGGGCTGAAGATGTCATATACATGGACTTCAGTAAGGCGTTTGATAAGGTTCCCCATGGTAGGCTGATGAAGAAATTGAAGTCGCATGGGGTCCAGTGTGTACTAGCTAGATGGATAGAGAACTGGCTGGGCAACAGGAGACAGACTTGTAGTGGAAGGGAGTTTGTCAAAATGGAGAACTGTGACCAGTGGTGTTCCACAGGGATCCGTTTTGGGACCACTGTTGTTTGTGATATACATAAATGATCTGGAGGAAGGTATAGATGGTCTGATTAGCAAGTTTGTAGATGACACTAAGATTGGTGGAGTAGCAGAGAGTGAAGGGGACTGTCGGAGAATGCAGCAGAATATAGATAGATTGGAGAGTTGGGCGGAGAAATGGCAGATGGAGTTCAATTCATGCAAATGCGAGGTGATGCACTTTGGAAGATCCAGTTCAAGAGCGAACTATACGGTAAATGGAAAAGCCCTGGGGAAAATTGATGAACAGACAGATCTGGGTGTTCAGGTCCATTGTACCCTGAAGGTGGCAACGCAGGTCAATAGAGTGGTCAAGAAGGCATACGGCATGCTTTCATTCATCGGACGGGGTATTGAGTACAAGAGTTGGCAGGTCATGTTGCAGTTGTATAGGACTTTGGTTCGACCACATTCGGAATACTGCGTACAGTTCTGGTCGCCACATTACCAAAAGGATGTGGATGCTTTGGAGAGGGTGCAGTGGAGGTTCACCAGGATGCTGCCTGGTATGGAGGGCACTAGCTATGAAGAGAGGTTGAGTAGACTAGGATTATTTACATTAGAAAGACGGAGGTTGAGGGGGGACCTGATTGAGGTCTACAAAATCATGAGAGGTATAGACAGGCTGGATAGCAAGAAACTTTTTCCCAGAGTGGGGGACTCAATTACTAGGGGTCACCATTTCAAGGTGAGAGGGGAAAAGTTTAAGGGAGATATGCGTGGAAAGTTCTTTATGCAGAGGGTGGTGGGTGCCTGGAACGCGTTGCCAGCGGAGGTGGTAGAGGCGGGCACGATAGCGTCATTTAAGATGTATCTAGACAGATACATGAATGGGCAGGGAGCAGAGGGATATAGATCCTTGGAAAATAGGCGACAGGTTTAGATAGAGGATCTGGATCGGCGCAGGCTTGGAGGGCCGAAGGGCCAGTTCCTGTGCTGTAATTTTCTTTGTTCTTTGTTCTATCTCCCTCCTCTTCCTGGACATCTCTGTCTCCATCTCCAGAAACCAATTCAACACTGACATCCATTTCAAACCCACTGACTCCCACAACTACCTCGACTACACCGCCTCTCATCCACCATCCTGCAAAAATGCTACCCCATACTCACAATTCCTCCGCTTCTGCTGCATCTGCTCCCAGGATGAGGCGTTTTACTCCAGGACATCCCAGATATCCTCCTACTTTAGAGACCAGAATTTCCTCTCCTCTTTAATTAAGGATGACTTCAACCACATCTCCTCCATTTCCCGCATTTCTGCCCTCAAAACCCCTCCCCCAAACAACAATAAGGGTAGAGTCTCCTTCGTCCTCATGTACTACTCCACCAACCTCTGGATCCAATACATCATCCTCCAACAATTCTGCTACCTACAATCAGACCCCACCACCAAAAAGATATTTCCTTCCCCACCGCTGTCTGCTTTCCACAGGGACTATTTACACTGCTCTACGCTCCCCACCAACTTCTCCACCACACCTGGTACCTTTCCCTGCAACAGCACAAGATGGAACACCTGCCCCTACACCTCCCACTCACCTCCATCCAAGGCCCCAAACAATCCTTCCAGATCTGGCAGAGATTTTCCTGCACTTCATCCAACCTTATTTACGGCATCCACTGCTCCCGATATGGTCTCCTCTGTATCAGGGAGACCAAACACGAATTCAGGGATCTGTTCACAGAGCACCTGCGCTCTGCACGCACCAACCAACCCAACTTTCCGGTTGCCATCCATTTAAATTCTCCCTCCCAGTCCGCTGACAACATGTCCATCCTTGGCCTCCTCCACTGTCAGCGTGAGGCCAAATGTGAACCGGAGGAACAACACCTGATATTTTGCCTTGAAAGCTTACAGCCCAATAGCCTGAATATTGACTTCACCAGCTTTAAAATGCCTCCACTTCCAGCCTCGTCCCATGTCTAGACCTCCCCCTCCTCTTCGCCTCCCTGACCTGACCTAACCTAACCTGTCCTTCTTCCTACTTACCTATCCGCTCCACCCTTCCCACTGACCAAACGCAATAACTCCCTACCTGCAGCTACCTATCACTATTCCACCTACACTTCCCCCAGCCCCACTCCCTTCCCTCTATTGATTTCTGGGCTTCCCATCCCCTCCCCCAGTCCTGACGAAGGGCTTCAGCCAGAAACATTGACTTTCCTGCTCTTCCAATGCTGTTTGACCTGCTGTGCTTTTCCAGTATCACATCTATTGACTATGGCTTCCAGCATCTTCAGTCCTTACACCAATGCCTTCTACAAGTGCAGCAAAACTTCCCTACTTTTATATTCCCTAACCCTTACAATCAAAAAGGTGAACATTTCATTTGCCTCCTTACTTACTTGCTTTACATTCGTTCAAACTTTTTGTGGTACACCTGCAAGGGCAACAAGATCCCTCTGTAGTGCAGTATTCTGCTGTCTCTCTCCATTCAATTTTTTTTTTGTTTTTCTTTTCTTCTGGCCAACATTGGCAATTTCCCATTTTCTCACATTATGCTCCACATATATTCCTTTGCAGATTTTTGTGAGTTGCTTCCCAACCTATCATTGTATTGTCAGCTAATTTTGCTGCAACATAGTGGGCTCCTGTGTCCAAATTCTTATTGTATATTGTAAACTGTTGAAACCCAAATACCAATTACTGTGGCACAGCATTAACTACAGCTTGAATAATGACAGAATTCATGTTAGTTAACCAATCTTTCATCTCTGCTAGTATATCATTCTCAATACAACGGTGGCTGTCCCTGAATGTGTTATTATTTCCGAAACAACCTGCTACTATCTCTTTAATAATGGATTCTAGCATATTCACAAAGACAAATGCTTGACCAACTGGAAAATGAAAGCAGTTTCCTGCTTTCATTTCCCCTCATTTCTTTAATATTTGTGTTACATGTATGGTTTTCCAAACTACCTGGACCATTCTAGAATCTAGGAACAAAAGCGGAAGTTGCTGGAAAAGCTCAGCAGGTCTGGCCTCCTCCAGGTCACTGGACCCGAAACGAGGGTTTGAAGAATACTCTCAACATAACAATTTTATAGCAATAGTGGGAATTGGTAATTGAAAAATTGTGAGAACGCAGTAGAAACTTGGCAATTTGACATCCCAAATGAGCTTTAATGGATTTGACATTGGAAAATCTGGGATAAATAACAAGTAAATTTGCATGAGTTGGTGAGGTAGTAAAACAAGGCTGCCTCAAAAGATAAAAAGAAACAGCTGGGAGCCAGCTTAAGCAAGCAATCTTCAGCAATATGTGTGTAACCTTACCATTCTGTAACCACAGCATCTGGAATCCGTTCCCTGAAAAGCTGGAGTCCGAATGGAATGCAACATGCAGTCTAGACCCAGAGCTTGTGCCTGATGGAGGTATAGTATTCCCACAGAAAGTACCGATAAGTGGAGACTGGGCACTGGGTCCATCGTATAGCTAAATATATCAAACAGAACGAAATTCAAAAACAGAGTAGTTACTGGTAAACAAAGCGAAAGCTGTGAACAGTCAAAGCAGGTTGAGAAGGAGGCTTCATATCAGATAAAAAGTAAAAATCAACATTTTCCATATCTTCTTTGCTAAAATGCACAGCCACTACTAAGTCAATTGGGGTAAACACAGTGTTAAAAGAGAAGGAAAGTGTAGGGGAAATACTTCTAATATGAAGTAACATAGTCCTGTGTTTGCTCACAGCTCACAGAGAGAGCAGGTTGGAGATTGGGTTACAACACTGTAACTCGATGACTTTTGTTGATTGGAAATATATCTCAAAGCTGCACTTTTACACCAAACAGGCTGGCCTTGATTTACCAGTGACATCAGGGGGAACAATGCTGGATCATCTGCAATGCAGAGTTGCTCCAGTGTTACTCAACACCGAGAAGCTATGCTATAGGCTTGAAATGCACATTTCCCTGTCTTGGCTGGGGTTTCCTGCAGCCACTAATATCTGAAACAGCTGTCAGGCCAGTGGAAATCATGTCCCGCTGTTTAGACATGTATGATGAATTTCCTAATAATTAACATAATTGAAATAGGATCACAACTAGAAAGCCTCTACTTAAAAAGTTCTTCGGGCTTTTCAGAAAATTGCAATTATAAGACAAATCAAAGAAATACAGTGAGTCTACTTTTTCATTTGATGAAAAATTAACGGTACTTTTTACAAAATGCAATCCTGTCAGATTTCCCTTTCTCTTTAGTAAGGTAATCCCCTTCTTGCTTGCACAACCACATACTCATTCCTTCCTGACATTTAGTTATGCGACTGACAGTGCATCTTCAAAGAAATCAGCATCACTGAAAACTTACGCGCATTATTTGTTCACTGATCTCTTTTTTAACCCCAGCCCACATAAGCAACAAAAGTCAGGATAAAGAAGCAGAAATTAAGCACACCAAGTCTTCAGCGCTTTCTTTAACACTGTCTCAAGATCCCTTTGGGAGACACAGACTGTAGCTGGGGAGGAACCACATTACTGAGACAGCAAGGAGTGCCCTGTTTATCCACCCTTACTTCTAGATGCTGCACTTCTGGAAATGTCCAAGCACTGGAATATCTGCAATAACTTTATGGTGCGTTCTGATGAAGAGTCACCTAGACTTAAAACATTAGTTTGCCCTCTCTCCAGGAAACTGCCTGACTTGCTGTGATTTCCAGCATTTTTGTTTTCAGTACAGATTCCAGCAAGTGCAGTAATTTGCTCCAACCTTATGCTGTAGATTGCTTTAAAGCCTTGCTGACACCATCCTTCAGCAACCCTCAACTCCCCCAGTCCTATCTAGAGTTTTCATGGACAATCTGTATCTTTTGACTGCTGATTTTCATTGGCAAACACCAGATCTCAAGCTTTGGTAAAGCCATCAAATCGGAGAGTTCTTCAGATATACCTTATCTTGCTGCTCATGCCATTACGCTTTGCCATATATGGTGAGGACTTTGGTTATAATCATGGTCAAATGTTGAGTTCATAGATATTGTTTAGAATCTCAGCAGAGTGAGTCCAGACAAAAAAAACCCTTTAATCTGCCCAGAGCAGCCTTTCCTCTACACAGTGTATCTACGCTATAATTAAAATAATTTCATATGATACAGACTGTACTCCCCACAAAACCAGAAGTTATAATATTTGTACCTATTTATAGTACAAAACTTCCTGTATATTAAAGGTCTGATCATTTCTCTTTCAAAATGAGACCCCGGTCTAATTCCGAATAATTTACAGATTTGGTTTGATGTAAATGTTCCTATTGGAAACATATCATCTGCATTTCAACATCCAATGATGTCTGCTGTTGTCCATGATGAACACAAACTAAGTCGGATGAAGAATTTTTAAGGCTCAGCACCAGAAATATTTGAGCTGTACTGCACCCAGCATAAAAGAAAGCCCCCTCCTGCCATTAAAACACAACAGCCCACAGCTTTTTAGGTGATAGTCATTGCAGCAATGTTATCCTAAAAGACTCACTACGAAACCCCTCGGAAGTCCAAAAGTACAGACTATCTGAGAATTGCTTGAGAAGATTAAGCTTTTGACCGGCAATTACTCTGTGTCTGTGGCCCTCCAGAAAGTCTGCAACTCTGAGTTAGAGCCACAGACTACAGAGGAACCCCATTCATAACCCAACCATCAATACAACAATCCTGGCTCAACCTGAATCAACACACTCCCAATCTGACACGGTCTCTGACCTGATTCCACCTAACGCCCATCCTGACCTAACAGCATCCCCAACCTGACACATGCCTGACCAAACACAAACCTGTGACCCAACCTCCCTGCAACTGATTTGACTCCCTCCTAACTAGACAAATCCAACATCCCCCTCCCACAACAACTTTCCTCTGACCTGGCATGCTCCTGATATGAACGATCTATGATTCCCCAAATCCTTCTTGCCCACCCACCTCCCACTCCACATCCTTATCCAGTTATCTGCCACACTTGCTCTTATAAAAAGTAAGAGAGTAGTGAAAATAAATGTTGGCTGTTTAGAGGATGAAAATGTTGAGGTAACAATAGGAAATTCAGAAATGGTAGAGGCTCTAAACCAATATTTTGCCTCTGTTGTCACAGTGGAAGATAATAATTTTTTTCCCAAAAACTGCAGTTACAACAGAGTAACTTGGTGAAATTACTATAACTGGGGAGAAGGTATTAAGTAAACTGATGGAATTAAAGGCCGATAAGTCCCTAGGACCTGATTGCCTGTACCCCAGACTATTAAAGGAGGTGGCAACAGAGATAGTGGATGCATTAGTTATGACAAATCTGTTGGAGTTCTCTGGGATGTAACTATCAAGGTGGATAATGGGGATATATATCTAGACTTCCATAAGGCATCTGACAAGATGTCGCATAAAAGACTGATTCGGAAATTTAGAACTCAGGGGGTTCAGCTTAGAGCATTGGCTTGGATCGAGGATTGGCTGACTAAAATAAAGCAGAGGGTCAGGATAAAAACGTCTTTCCCTGGATGGCGAACTGTAACTAGTGAGATGTCGTAGGGTTCAGTTCTTAGACTTCAGCTGTTTACAATCTATAGGAATGATCTGAAAGCAGGGACAGAGTGTAACATTGCAAAGTTTGCGGATGGTACTAAAATTGATGGGAAAGCAGGCAGTGATGAGGAGATAAAGAGTTTACAGATGGATAGCGATGGGCTAGGAGAATGGGCCAGAAGCTAGCATATGGAGTACAATGTGGATAAGTGCGTGATCGTCCATTTTGGTTGAAAAACAAAATGGCAAATTATTATTTAAATGGGAAACAGATTCAAAAGTTCATCAGTGCAGAGGGATCTGGGTGTCTTTGTGCATGAATCATAGAAAGTTGGTGTGTAGGCACAGCATGTAATGAGAAAGGCAAATGGAATCCTGGCATTTATTGTAAAAGGACTGGATTTTAAAACTAAAGAAGTGTTGTTACAATTATATAGCGCATTGGTGAGACCACACCTGGAATAATGTGTCCAGTTTTGATCTCCTTACTTGAGGAAAGATGTGTTGGCACAGGAGACAGTTCACAGAAGGTGAAAGGGTATAGTACAAGGAGCGTTTGATTAGCTTGAGCCAGCATTTATTGCACATCCCTAATTGCCCAGAGGGCAGTAAAGAGTCAACCACGTTGCTGAGAGTCTGCAGTCACATATAGGCCAGACCACGTAAGGACGGTAGTTTCCTTCCTTAAAGGATATTAATGAGTCAGATGAGTTTTCCAACAATTGGCATTGGATTCATGATCATCTTACTTCCAGATTTCTGTCTAATTCAAATTCCACTATCTGCCATGGTGAGGTTTGAACCCAGAATATTACCTCACCCTGATTAACAGTTCAGCAATAATACCACCAGGTCATTACCTCTCCATGAGAAAACTGACACACAATGACCAACTTAAGTATGGTCGAGGAGAAAGGTATCCAAGGAGAAGATCCTATAAAATTAACACTGAGGGGATTTGTGAGAAAATAAGGCAAGTGAGTTCATTTCTTCCATTGTTTTACAGTTCAGGGGCATCCGATCTGGAACAGTAACAAATCGGAGAACCTGGCCCAAAGTCAGGTTAGAACAAACTGAGGGCTCATGCCATGATTTGAACACATAGACAAGTCAAAAGAATTAGAGTGATTAAGTTCTCACTTCAAAACCATTTTTTCAAACTGTGAAAAGATTTCTTGCACTGACATAATATAGATATGTTTGTATTTGATGTTAGCATGTTCCTTGTAGAATTATGGAAAGTTACTTTTGAGGATGCGAATGTTCTGTCTCTCAAATAATTGAAAGATTTACTTAGAATTAGGATTTTGTCAGAAAACCCAAAATTTCAACAGGAATGGTTTAAAGGTAGAAACCAAGGACAATGAAATGGATAGAGTAATGGTAGAGAGATTAACATTGGAGTAACAGAAACTAGAAGTTCAGAAAAATTGAAGAGAGAGGAAAGAGACAGAGCAAATAAAGAGAGAGGTAGAGCGATAACTGGTGAGTAAGAGAAAAGGGGGAAGAGAGAGGAATTCAGGGAAAAATGGGAGAATAAGGAAATTAAGCTAAGTCTGCATGAACTGAGGAGAAGGAACTCTACAGTATCCCGGGAAGCACTGAACAAAGAGAACAAAGAGACCATGAACAAAGGGACTGGAGATGCAAGTTCATAGTTCCTTGAAAGTGGAGACACAGGGTGGTGAAGAAGACATTTGGCAAGCTTGCCTTCATTGGTGAGCGCATTGCATATAGGAGTTAGGACATCATATTGCGACTGTACAGGACATTCATGAGGACACTTTTAGAATACAGCATTCAAATCTAGTCTCCCTGCTATAGGAAAGATACCGTTAAACTTGAAACAGTTCAGAAAAGATTTATAACGATGTTGTCAGGATTGGAGACTTTGAACAATAGGGAGAGGCTGAATAGACAGGGCTAGTTTCCCTAGAGGATCAGAGGCTGAGGAGTGATCTTATAGAAATTTATGAAATCATTAGGGGCATGGATAGGGTGAATAGCCAAGGTCTTTTCCCCAAGGAAGGGGAGTCCAAAACTAGAGGGCATAGGTTTAAGGTAAGAGGGGAGAGATTTAAAAGGGACCTGAGGGGTAACATTTTCACGCAGAGGGTGGTGCGTGTATGGAACAAGCTGCCAGTGGAGGTGGCGGAGGTGGGTATAGTTACAACATTTAAAAGGCAACTGGGTGGGTGTATGAATAGGAAGCATTTGAAGGATATTGGTCAAATGCTAGCAAATGCTTGTTCAGTTTAGAATATCTAGTTGGCATGGATGAGTTGGACCAAAGGGTCTGTTCTGTGCCAAATAACTCCAAGGCTCTACAAGATACCAATGTCTCAGAATTGAGGGTGGGGTCAACTTGGTTTTCTGATTTAATTCCTAAGTTTGAAGAGGCATGGATGGAAGTATTTTTAAAATCTTTTTAAAGTGAGTATCACAGCAGCTAAAGTGGCCAGCCCAACACTGGTCCTTATTACTGTTGAGTAAGGTCTTGGGGAAAGTATGCAGAGTTTACTGCTTCTTGCCTGAGGAAAGTGCAACTGATCGCAAGGCAGTTAAAAAAAATGACTATCTGAAGTGCACATCAGTTGATGTAACCATCTAAAATTGGATACTCTCAGTAGATAGCCTGACCACATGGACTGGAACTTGAAAAACTTAAATGTCTTCCTTTTAATCAGTGGATATGGGTTGTTAAGACAGAAGCTACTTAAGAAAACCTCTGTGTACTAATTCTTTTTGATGAGTTCAAAAACTTCATATCCTTCTCAATCAGAATGTACACAGAGGACAGAGAGACATGGTCAATATGAACTGCCACTCTCACTGACTATGAGCTGAGTCATAAGCCCCTGTTTTGGAAGAAAATTTTATCTTGTTAACTCCCAAAACAACTGGAAAGGATGGAGGTGGCAAGAGTGATTTTAAAAAGCCTCTCATGGGAAAGTGGGAAATCCCAGGAGCCCTCCTCAGGACAGACATGGTGGCATTGAGATGAAAGATGAGGTTAAGACATTTGTCTGATTGAAATGCTGAAGGCTACAGCACGGCCAGGTCAACTGCTGGGAGCTATGGGAAAAGCCAATGGGATTTATCAGGGCACATACACCATATGCAGGGAATGGGGATCAGCATGGCAAACCAGGCTATGGCTCTGACTGCAGCTACAAACCCCTGCAAGGGCACACCTGATAGGGTGGTTGAGTAAAAACAAATGCCTGAAAATTTTTCTTTCTAATGAAAGGGTGGTCACATTTTCCCAGGTTAACAGTGGAATGGGATCTCTGCTCCCCAGTGAGAGGAAGTCCTGCCCTTAGTACCAAATAATGAGGTGGATGTTGTCCTGGTCGTCATTACTGAGACTGGTGCCAAATTCCATCTTTTATCAACAGAATTTAAATCCCACCAGCTGTTTTTGAACATACATCCCACAGTGCACAAACCTGGATTACTAGTCCAATGACGTTACTGCAATGCCACTATCTCCTTGATGACTAGTGACTATATATCTAACTCTTACCTTTAACCAAGCTAAGTGGCAGTTGTTAAAGTCCAGACTGAAGACAGTGAAGGTGTAGTTGATGGTGTTCCCAGCTGTTGCCTGTATGGTCCAGGTACAGTCTTGCTTGGAAGGATAAGGCTGTGGAAAGTTTGTACTTTCCAAGATCCCTTGACTACGATTTGCAATAATTACTCTCTGACAAACTGCAAATGAAGCAACATGTTAGTTGTTGATAAACTTTGAAAGTTAAACACAGAACAAAGGAGAAAATGCCAGCATCTGGAACATTGTCTTTCTGCAGTGATTGGTTAGGATCTAGAATGCACTGCCTGAGAGTGTGGTGAAGACAGATTCAGTCAATGCTTAAAAAAAAGATAATTATCAGAGAAGAAAAAACATGCAGGGCTACAGGGAAATACAGGGGGTGTGGTGGGGGGGTTGGTGCAGGGTGGTGGTGAACTAGATTGGTTGCTCTTACAGAGAAACATTACCATTCTATAACTTGTCAGAAAAAAAATCCACTGCGCAAATGAACAACGCAAAAACTGACTTTACCGAGGTAACAAAGCTTCTCAAAGGCTTATACAATGAAATTTTAATAAAATCACTTCAATTTTAACATCAATTTGTCTCAGATCCTCAGCCTCATTAAGGCTTTTGTCAAACATTCTTCCTTTGGAAGACATGATGACATGTTAATAAGTTCATGAATAGAACTGACTGTTTAGAGTAATTTTTGATGCAAATTCCATTGCTTCATTCTGTGTGACATGTTTCTTTTACACAGTGGTGTTCTAAACTGGAAACTGAGCACTAGTTAAAAACACAGTCCATCCAATGAATCTGAAAAGGCTATTACATCTCAATCACACTCCCTAGAGTATCCATACAATTATCCCTTAAATTTTGCACATATCTGTCTCTTATGTACTATAAGTTGCTGGGCGGCCCATTACACATAAAAAAACGAAAGAACTGCGGATACTATAAATCAGGAACAAAAACAAAGTTTCTGGAGAAGCTCAGCAGGTCTGGCAGCATCTGTGAAGGAAAAAACAGAGTTAACGCTTAGGGTCCAGTGACCCTGCCTCAGAACTGATGGTGGCTGAGAAAACGTCAGTTTATCTGCCGAAAAAAGGGAGGTGGGAGGGGTAGGGAGTCAATGATAGGATAGAGCCTTAAGAGAGAGAAAGACAGTTGGACAGACAAAGGAGTTGATAACGATCAGGCTGGGAGGGTGAATAGTTGTTAATTAGTTATCCATTACACATGTACATCACAATGTATGTCAACACGGTCACACTTAAAATGAAATTGTTGATATCTCTTTCTCTTATCGTTCTCCAGATGTGCCAGAAACAGCAAACTAGCCCATTGGAGAATGTGCCAAACACTGTCAATTTCCTCACAAACATCAGCTCAGTATCCTGAGGAAAATCTGAATTGAGCCAAAGAGGAATGAGAGAAAGTAGGAACTGCAGATGCTGGAAAATCTGAGACAACAAGGTGCAGAGCTAGATGAACACAGCAGGCCAAGCAGCATCATAGGAGCAGTAAAGCTGACGTTTCGGGCCTAGACCCTTCATCAGAAATGGGG